TGACGTTGCAAGATGGGAAGGGCCGGGAAAATGCCAAGAGCTTCCCATCCTCATCCCTTAGTAACGTTTGGTCTTCTTCTGAGAGTTGCAGCAACTCGAGCCCTGGGATTCTGGCAGAGCCAAGCCTTTTGGTGTGGTTGGATGGTTTGGGTTTTTAAGGGCCCTTTCCAATCCGTCTGTTGTTGACACTACATATCTATAAGCATGCATTCTTAGAAAGACAAATGAGGGCTACATTTTTATATCTTAACCATAAAATCATATCCCTTATTAGAATTACAAGTTACTTTTCCCTTCTTTTGTACGAATAACAGTAATAATTCTTACTAATGATGGCAGTGGTCATAGCAATGCTTATTCAATCTTAGCAGGAGGAAATTTTGCAGTTTCTTTGCATGTAAAACTTCCATTATTTGGATGGGGTTCCTCTGACATAGGTCATTATATCTGTAATATGCATTTATAGTTGTTTAAAGATCTGAATAGTTTATGGAATAAATTCTGATGTGATATAGCCAGGAGCCCTGTGGGTTTTCATTATGCTATTGATTAAAAAGCCCACCACTACACAGTGAAGATAAAGCAAAGAATTGGAAACTGGGTGAAAATTCCTTTTACTCTATATAAATTATTTCACATTTGTTTTAAAAAAGGAGACTTTGCTTATATTTTTCCCTCAAGATAATTTCTGCCTTTGTTTGAAAAAGGTTATTGATTGGATTGTTAACTTAAATAGTCTGTGGCGGGTGTGACAGAGCACATGGCTGCAATTAATCTTGCGATGCAGAATCCATTATTGAAGAAGCACTAATGAGCCGTTCTAAGGCCTTCACTGGTCACAGAGCGCCTGGGAGCAGCAGACTGCTCCTGCCCTTTAATGTCAGTTTTGGTCTTTAGTGTTATACAGCCAGTGCAGGCAGAAGAGATTTTTAGATTTTTTTTTTTTTTTTTTTAGGGTATTTATGTTAAAATTCTCCTTACCAACAGTCTGCAATTGCACCGGGTACGGGAGTAAAGAAATGGTCTCTGAATGCGTTCGCCCCCCACTCCTCCGACCCGATGTCTGGTGGACATAGTGTACGGTTAGAGCCAGTGGCATGTGAAACACGGGTGTCACTGTAAAATATGGTCTCAGTCGCAGGGTTCAGATCCAGAGGAGAGTTTTGACAAAGATGAGGGAGCTTTCAGGCCTGATCTATACTTTAAAATATTGCTTTAAGACAAAGGGATGAGCTGTTGGAAACCTTCTCACTGCAAATTTTATTGTCTATGTTGTTTATAGCTATTGCGGCGTAGCAAAAGTTTAGGTAGAGAATAGTTATGGTAGATTAGAAACTGTCGATGTTAATATATCACCTTCTCCTTCAACAGAACTGCTCCCGGGATGGATTTTAGAGGTCTGTCTATTGACTTTGGTGACACCATAAATATGTGTTACTTCTTCCCCCTGTTAGATCTGCGGAGCTGGTACAGACGTGAGAGTGATCCAGGGTTTGCCAGGGCTGAGCCACCACCTGAATTATTAACCGAGTTCCAGCTGCAGACTCTTCGCTGCCCACCTTCACTGTAGCAAATGCCGTTTATCTAAAGATTAGCAAAATAAGACTGTTTCTTCATCTTGACCACATAAGTGATGAAATTAAGCAAGAAAGACCTTTCCAGCTCTCTGGCTTGTGTGCCACCACAGTGTCTGTAACTTGAACCATATTTTGGACTGCTGTTTGTGTAAAGCAAAATTGTTTGTGAGCTGAACTAGCCTTTTTTTTTTTTAAATTTGAATTTTAATTTTTGAATTTGAATCTACCTATAGTACCCCACCATATGCAGCTACAGGGCTTTGTCTTCAGATATCCTGCCACAGAGGGAATGCCAAGGAGTGCTGTGATATGGAGCAGGGATGGCGTTCACTAACACCGCTCCAGGAAGTCTTGGACGTGTAAAGTTTCTCATAGGTCACAAAAAACACTGGGTTTTGAACCAAAGTAGCAGGAAAATAGAGAGATTGTGAAGAAGGAGAGCAGGGAGGGCAGGAAAAAGAATTTTAATGTTTTGAGTATCAACTGGCATGCTTGCTGTACGCTACAGTGCCTCATCACGCTGCTGGCATAAGTGAAAATAGTCTTGCCAACAACATTAGGTTGGGGTCATGGTACCACAAGGCACATTGTTTAATGTGAAAGAGGATCTGACTTGGAGGCTGAAGAAAGACATGTCCACGAGGAATTCTTTTTCCCTTAGACATGTCATAAGCCCTGGGCTGACAGAGAGCAATCTGCGGCTATGCAGACATGGCTGTGGGCATTTGTTGGACTCTTTCGTAGTCACAGCATTTGGAGAGAGAGCCCAATGGAGTGAATAAATTGGTATTTTTTTGCAAAAGAATCTTGCATTGCTACTAAAAAGAAGCCACCGTGGCCCTCACTCCACTATTAATATTTTCTAAGTGATCCTTAGCCCACAAGAGCCCATTTCTTTTAGGCTTGTGGTGGGTGTGGTTCTAAGAAGGGCTCTGCAAAATAGGATGGATCACTTCAAGGATGAGGCACCATTGATACGAGATGCAGCACAGAAAACCTGCAGAGGTGTTTTTGAGGCAAATGAGGAACGAGGCAGTCAAGACTGATAGCTGGAAGAGAGCAGGAAAAGTAATGAACAGAACCTGACCTTCATGTCGTTTGAGAAAGGGAGATTCTCTAGCTGGAGTCTCTGCAATGAGCAATGTGTGTACGCAGGCAAGCGAGCACGTGAATGTGTGTATGCATTTAGCTGTGATTTATTTCTGTAAGTTTGATTCCATTCTTTCTGTTTCTTTTCAAATGTGACTGAAGCTATTTAACTCTCTGATTAACTCACCTCCCTGTATGAGTTGTTTTCCGTGATGTATTCCAGCACTGTGCAACCTTTCTGGAAGCTGACTCGCTGCCATTGGGATGAATTCCTCCCTGACGTGTAGTGTGGCACATTTGTTCTATTCACTGGTGTTGGAATGAGGTTCCGTGTTTGCTGTAAATCAGATCTGGAGGAACGTTTCAGTGTCATGTCAGGTTCTGCTAGTTTGGTAGTATCAGAAATTATATGAGGTCCTCTCAGCATGAAAAGGTATCATGTCACAAAATCTCCTTCTGCACCGTTGTAGTTTCAAGGTCCCCAGAACTTTAGTTTGGACTTGGTCCACTGTAAATCTCAGTAAAATCTGACTCTTGTTTTGTGCTGACATTTCAAGGGCTCCAAAACCCAGTGATCTTCTTAGCCAATGTGAGCTCATCAGTACTGTCAAAACATTTCTTTATTCAAAGGCTTGAGTGATATGAACAATGTCATTGATCCCTCCTTCCTTAAATATCTCCTTTATTTTCTACTCAATTTCCTTAATAACTTACGTACACACATTTCTTTGCTGGACAGGTTTAGTTTTCGTATCACTGCCATGTGAATATAACAGGAAAACCAAAATCCTTATTACACCATTTGATGGTATCATGGGCACATGAAGGAAATATATTCCCTACAGCATTATTGCCTTACCCAGCAATTCTCAACAACTGTTTGCTTCACTAGCTAGAAAATATAAAAGCTTCTTGCAGGGTGGTGATGGGTGATGCGACGACGTAGCAAAATACCGCTGATAGGTCTGCTAATGAAGATAGCGCATCTATGCCCACATCTACCATAGCCATGCCTTTTTTCTTATTGGAGAAGCATCCTTTCTTTCTCCACTCTTAAAAAGACATTTAGGCTGGTGGAGGTGGAAAAGATTTTTTCCTGCCCTTTGGCTGTAGTCTAAAACCAGCAGATCAGCTAGAGGTGAAAACCCTCGCGCACCTCATGGTGTAAGGTTCTAGAAGTAGCACGCGGTAGTGCTGGATGTGCGTACCTGTATTTCTAGGTTTTCTATAGATGAGCAATTGGCTGTGCCCGTCCCATGCCCCCCGGCCCCGACTATGCTCAGTGTTAATGCTTACATATGTCAGAGAGGGGTGCTAAACACGGGGCTTTCCAAGAAGGCAAGCAATAGATTATTGCAGGTGGCTTAGGGACTGCCTTAGCCTGCTAGGGGTGGTTTGGGAGTACAGTACTTTATTTCAGCGGTATATTTTTCTTGTTTTGTTTTGCAGAAGGAACACTGATCCTACCTTTGGTTTGTTTGTTTGTTTGTATTTTCCCCTCCAGAAAGCCCATTGCTGACCCTGCTACTGTGATACCGCTGTTTTGCAAAGCTGGAGTCGACACGCATGTAGGGGCGGGGGTTGTAACTCTGGCAATTTGTCCTTCCCGATTAGATGTGACTGTTCTGCTAGCTTTCCCTTCTTTATTCCTTTCATTTAGTTCGTTGTGGGAGTTGGCTTGGGGTTTTTTCCTTTCGGTTTCTTGTTTTGATCCTGGAAGGTTAGCTGTGCAATTTGGTTTCTTCTGTGCCAACCAACTTTAGTGGCAGAGCTCTTAAAAAAATTAAAAGCTGTATCCCTCCGTCCTGTCTTGCTTCTTCTCTGTACACTACTGCTTCCATTTAAGCAAAGTTTACAGAATTGCTCCACCCATTCGGACACCAGGAAAGGAAGCTCTGAAATGGAGAATAACCTCATTTCCACCAGGTCCTTCAGTCCGGTCGAAACAACGCTAATTGAAACTGTAGTCCAATTTCTATTAAGATGGATGGGCTCTCTCTGAAATTGGGTTTGTTTCTGATTTCATCCTTTCTCTTGTTGCGTTTCCAAAAAAAGCCCCACAAAAACCAAATCCAAAGCCAAACCGTTTTTAAGAGCTCTGAATAAAACTGCTTTGCCAATGGGGAATGGGTGGGGATGACTCTGATTTTCTCTTGTGCCCGGCAGCGAAAGGGTTAATGCCTGCTTTCCTCTTTGATATCTGTTAGTTGCAGCCCATGTTGTGATCAGTCCATGTCCATGTGCGTTTTGTTCCCAAATTTAATACCGGTTAATTAACAAGCAATAAGTGAGCTTTAACAATGACAGTTGTTTTCGATCTTCCTCAGGACACCCGACCTGCCTGCAGTTCACCACAAACATGACTGAGGCGGTTAAAACCTACCAGTGGCAGTGCATTGAGTGCAAATCCTGCAGCCTTTGTGGGACCTCGGAGAACGATGTGAGTTCATTTACCTTTTCACGCAAATAAGTGTCACTGCAAGCTACCGTCATGCCCGCCCTTGAGGAGCACGTGGCAATGGTGTGGGTCATGGCTTTACTGCTGCTTCCGTAATTCTCCGAGGAAGAGCCACCCTGAGAGCAGAGATGGGCTTCTCCCCAGCGCCCCCGTTCAGCCGTCGGTCTCTGCTGAAATCACCACGGGTATCATGTAGGGCCACTTAAGATGGCGATACTTGTGGTCTGTGTGCTTATTCAATAGAAATTAGCTGGAGGCAGCAGGGAGCTGCAAAAGAGTGGTGTTTTCCATATGGTAACCCGGAGTAGATGTGAATGGGTGATAACCCAAGAGATGGCAGGTATATTTCTTCTGTCCCTGATTTTGCTTACCTTCTTGGCATGATTTTTTAATCGTAATTATAAGAGTTGGGAAACACGAAAGCATTTGAACTGGGATGGCTAGGCCTCGCTCTAGTCACGTAATCACCTGTCCCAGTGATTTCTAAACCATGATCTAGAGGCTGCAGCTCAACAGTGTCCTCTCTGTGGGGTTTTCAGTTCAAATCTGATGCTAAGGGTCCTTGGTAGTCTGTGAGAAACTTGGAGAATTGACAGTGGCTGGAGAACTTTGGAGGCAAGTGGCTAAGACTACATTCCCGATAGCAGAATAAATTCGAAGCCTGACGTTTTGTTTTGCTTTATCAGTAAACAAGGAGATCTGAAAACAGGAAGCTGTTCTGTGTAGGAGTCATGGGATACTTCAGAGCAGGTTTTTCCTCCCAAAATTATGAAAGAGCTGCAGACCACACGGTGGGATCATGTCATTTCCATCTGTTTCACAGAGCACTCGCTACTCAGCTGAGTTTTGGAGAACAGGCTAAGTCCAGGCTTTTGATGAGAAATGTTTCCCCTGAAGGGATGAGATCCAGCACGTGGTCTACAGTGGTCACCCCCAGCAAAGTGGGGATGCCCGTCCTCTTCTCTCAGTACAGCATATCCCTGGCCTAACGGCTTTTGCTCCTGCATCGTGAGGCCACCTTGGAGAGGAAGTCCTCCACCTCTCAGAGAGACTTTCCAGTTAGCAGCTGAACTGCCTTTGTGATGGGAAGGGTGGTGGTTGATCTTGGACGCACAAACGTGATGCCTTTTATGTTCCCAATAGTCTCTCAGTCTCTATGTTGCAGCTCTGCGTTCTGAGCTGAGCACTGCTGGTTACCATGCTTGTGTTTTCATCTTGGCAAGAGACTAACTTACATCATTTTCTCTCTCTCTTCTCCTCTCTTTCTCTCCGTTACCCTACTGTCTCCCCAACAACGCTGCCTCAGGACCAGCTGCTCTTCTGTGATGACTGTGACCGTGGCTATCACATGTATTGCTTGAATCCACCAGTCTTTGAGCCCCCAGAAGGTAACATGTGTTAGAAGTCTGCTTTGAAAGTCCTTGTGGAGAAGGGAAGAATTTCAGAAAGGCGGCCTGGGCCATGCAGAGTTAAGGAAGCAGTAGCAAAGCAGAGGCAGGTAGCACTGGAAAGAAAGAAAATTGATAGACGTGGAGGTCTAGTGTGATCTGAGACGTCCTGTGCAATCTTGCCTGGTGCCTACCGCCCCTTCCAGGACATGGCTCTTTTGCGGGTCATGGGTGCCTTTGGATGTCCCAGATGGCACTGGGCACCTCAATTTCGTCAACTGAATTGAGCTCCAGTGAGAAAGAAAGCCCTGGGCAGGGAGGCCCTCTCTGGAATAGCTGAGAGTCTGTTGTCAGGAGACTGGATTAAGAGGAACGACCTTCCTTGTTCTCCGGTCTGTCTGAGCTTCAGAAGGGTGAGAGCTTTACAGTCTGTATTGCATTTGGTATGTAGTTCTGTCCTCTGCAGGGGATTCAATCTGAATATACTACAACTCGTTGTAGTTTGTCACTTGGGTGGGGAGCCGAGGAACTAGTCCCTTACCATTATTGATTCTCTGACTAAAATCTGCAGAGAGCAGTACAATTGGAGAAGGAGACATGCAAGTGCAAATGACTGCGGCTCACATGAGGGGCGAGACAAGAATAATTACAAATCAATCATGCATTCGGGAACTAAATGTTTGTAACTTTGATAAAGAAGAAACTAAATCAGGAGGAGAAAATTTTGAAATGAAGCTAATAATTAGCTAAAGGTTTCTGTTTGACTGGAAAGTGGTGTATTGAGTGTATGAAAATATATAAAATGCCTAGTGGCAATGCACACCCCAGCTGTGTTGTAACTTGTGTAGAGAGCCTACGTGCACAACACCGAGGGCTGCTGCTTCAGAAAAATACAGGCAATTCCAATGTTAGGAATATTTGATATCTTGTTCAAGCCGATCTTGACATGAACTCTGAGTGCCTGGGTTTGATGTCATCCCTATAAGAAGGATTTCTTCATTTGCAGGGAGCTGGAGTTGTCATTTGTGCCGGGAGCTGCTCAGAGAGAGAGCATCAGCTTTTGGCTTCCAGGCCTGAGGAGCTCCAGCAGTCAAGAAACACTTTGTTCCTGGTGTTGCCATACCAGCACACAGTTCTCATCCAGAACATAAAGACACAACCCGCATCAAAACGAACGGACGCTCAAATACAGGAGGAGGTATCTGTGGTATTCACTGTCACTAATGCCGTACCTCCTGGGCTCTGCTGGAAGGATCATCTACTTTCCCGATGCTCTGGATGAAATCTCTTCACTGCTATGCATGGTTGCTGCTTACCGTTACGGGCTCACATGCATTATAGAAGGGGGAGGGTTGTTATATCGACATGGAGAAGTCAATTTTGTGTGGCCTTGTGCTTTCTGTTTAGTCTTCTTTTTAAAGAAGAAGTAATAAGATATCTCCCAAGAAATTATTGGTGAGTACTTTGGCTGGGAGCAGCACCAGTTGTTTCTCTTCACAGGCTTGACTGGAAATCTCTTTACTGCAACAACTTTGTATTCATAGGGGGCTTTGAGAGTTGCATTAGTTCAAGTCTTCCCGGGTCATGAACAACACGTTCATGAGAGAACTCATGAGAGAGTTGTCACTGAGAGAAGCACTGATCAAAAATTTTTGGGGTGACACTTTATCCCTTGGATCAAAGGCTTTGGTTTGACAGATCTTTAGAAATCTGGTTTTAGTATCTCTGAAGGAAGAACAGTACCAGTATGTACACACAGAGATTCTTAGAAAAGTCTACCATCTGTGGTTTTTCAGGATATTCAGGCACACTGTCCCACTGCAGTGCCAGCATACAATCCAGACTCATCTTTTCATTTTTGTTCAGAAAGTTGTGAATGGTTAGGTATGTAACTGACTTGCTGTTTAGCTCAGAAAACAGAACTAAAGAAAAATGTCATCTTAAGTTGATTGTAGAAAATAAAATTGTCAGTTTTCTGAGCAATCTAAAGTAAGCTGCAAAAAGGAACAACTTTGGCTTAGGGTCAAATGAAGCACTTTTGATTAATTTTTTGAAATTTATAAGCTAAAATGTTCTGCAATTGAAAGTTGCATTTTATTTGGGGAATTGCCTAATCAGGACTTCCAGCATTTCGAAAGTGTTACTGTTTTTTATCAAAGTAATTATCAAGATCTATCTGAATTTTCAAATAATCTTGCCCCCAAATTCTCTAAAACCGCATTTTTGGCAAATGTGATAATTTGGCAAAAAATCTTCACCAGCTCTAAAGAAGCGAATAATTTACTGAACCTAATATGAAAAGAAAGATTTTCATAATGATTTTAAAATTGAAATAGTTGTACTTTATTTAAATAAACCTCTACATGTGAAATGGAGAAACATTAAGCAAGAGCATCAGTTGAAAAAAATATTATTACAGTTGAGTCTCTGAATAATTTAAGACATCACTAGGAGGACAAGTGAGTACATTAAAGAATTTTTACCAGATACATCTTTAAGGTTAAAAACCTGCAACTCCCCGAACTGCCAAGTAGCTCAGAATGACCATTTTCTTGGGTATGATGTATATTACTTTCTATGCATAGATTTAATGGGTTTATAATATAAATTTAGGAGAGTCCCAAGCAGCATGTGACTCGGGTTGCTTGTACAAGTAGGTAAAGACACTGAGGATTATGTTTGGCATATTTATATTGGTTGAAACTTTTCTGCAAAATTAAATGTCCCCGAACACTTGAAAGGACATTGTGAAAGAATATCGGTGAGCTAATTTTTCTTCCTTCTCCTGCTGATTACACTTAGTTAGAATGAGCTATACTGACCTAATGCACTTTCCCTCATTATTTAGATAGTTTCTTCACCTTTTGCATTTTGTTCAGCTTGCATGCTGAAAGTAGCCACGTCAGCTGCTGGATTCTTCCACGTACTGTTGCAGCCTCTTCTCAGGCTGCAGCAGGACTATTTTAACCTGTTAGAAAAAGGCTTTACTAAGGTTTAGAAATTATTTATCCTAGTCGTATTGGACCAAATCTCTCCCAGAGCAGCTGCACCGGCTGCCTGTGAAATTCATTCAATACCTTAGGCTTTCCGTGTGACGGCCCCTCAGACAAGCCGAGAGTACAAAGAAATTTGAGCCTCAGGTGCAGGGAGGGTAAAGCGGGAGCCCGTGGACCTGCGTTAGGTGTCTGGTACCTGTTGGGACAGAAGTCTAGAAAAAATGTACATTGGAGCGTCTTCCTCTCTGTCTGGAACGGCCCTGGCGCTGGGGAGCACTCGGGGCCACAGCTCACCCGCAGGAGCGTTTGCACCCATCTGCTGGTGTGGTCAAACCCCGCTGACCTGGCACTTTGGGACCATCGCCCAGTTCAGGCTGATAGAAATTCCTGTTGCTGCTGTGGCCAGGAGTGCAGGTACGTATTCACCAGGACGCTGCTGGGCTCTCTCATGGGAAGTGAGTGTTTTGGCAAGAGGGACAGGAGGTGAGAAGTGTGTGCACTGGAGGGAAGTTTTGTGGTGGTGCTGGCGGGGGGGGGCGCACA